GTGCCTCTGTAGCATGGAGGCACTTAAAATACTTGTAGTGCAATAATTATTAAATACATGCAATCTTTTAACTTTCTGACTACACTTCAGATGTTACGACAATTTCTATGTAATTGCAATGCAGTAAAGTTAGACGATACCCTCTGAAACTCAAAGAACCTTTTCACTTTACAGAGCGAATGATCAAAGATCCAGCGAAAACAGAACGGTAGTTGTTTAGCAGTTCAGAGAGCAATTGTTGGTAAGCGTGCCAAAAAAATTTGATTTCTCTTATGTAAACACTAATTTTTTTTATTATTATTTAACGGAAAAGTCTCTAACCTTTTTTTAATTTGTTTGTTATGTATAAGATGAAACATCTTCGTATGTATTAATTATTGTTCATTGAACGGGAGTTGGTCTATTCCCCTTTAAAAGCCAACTAATTTCCGAACAATAGCGATAATTACTTGTTTTTAATTTTAATTTCTTTTTCAAAGTTTGAAATTTTGTTATTCATGGTTTAAATTTAAGTCCCCGTAAAATGTTTTTTTCATAATTTACATTCAAGTAACTTTAAAACACAATTTTCGGACTTAAACTTCCTGCATGTGCGTTCCCTATTTCTTGATACTACTAAATTTATATTAGGAGATAATACAATCAATATTTCTTTAATAAATTATATATGTGTGTGTGTGTGCATGCTTTTGGTTTGCTTGTGTTCCATCTAGTATTTACGAAAAAAACATTAAATAATCCAATGCATCACATAAAAATGACGCCTCTTCTTAAAATTGAATTCAGTTTATATATATAATTTATTTATTAAAGAAATATTGATTATATTATCTCCTAAGATTGCACTAAGTGAATTTAAGATTATATATATATATACAAGTTAAAGTAGGTAGACTATAGGACCTAGTTTCATTGTATTCCCAGCTATAATCGCTCTCTGGCACTCCTTCTTTAGCCCCAGATGTGGCTCCTGAGGAGTCTTGATTTAGTTCTTTTATTGTAGAAACCACAGTGGTATCCACTCTATCCTCAGCGTCCATTTCACGTTAAATATTCTGACTGCGCACAGAATATACAATAAAAATTAATCTTTATTTCAGGGCCAAATATGCGTTCTACTCCGCGACAGCCGGTCTCTGTTCTTCCTCTGCCCTTCTCCCTAAACTTCTCTTTTTTTTTTTTTTTTTTTTTTTTTTACACTCTTCTTTATACAATATTTTTATAACATTTATGTAAAATAATGATTTATGTTTTTATTTATTTATTCATTTTACTAATGTCTTGTTGTCAAGAGCTGTGAATTTCCCCTTAATCTTCTTTATAATTAGTATATATTTATAAACACAAATTTTTCCATTTAATTCTATTTTTTTCAAAATTGCAGAACAAAATGTCAATCCTACCGCATAAGAACTTCGAGCGATATTTCGCATCACTTTGCCAAATTAGATAAAAGAAAAATATTATCATCGTCACCAGACAATTTCTTGTTCTTTCGAGATCTGCATCCAGTCTAAAAAGGCATTTAATAAAAAAAACACCCAACAAGGCCTTTTTCAGCGGTTAAGATTAGGAAGGCACCCAAGGCTGCCCTCAGCTGTCGATGAAACAGCAGCAGAAGTCCTTTCCTATCAATCTCAAATATTGGCTTTGGCTTCTCCTTCAATGTCCAATTCAGCTGAAGTCCTCCTTCCACGATATGATTCTCGTTCTGAATTTGGATCGAGGTCCAGCTTTTCTTCACCCCGACCGCTTTACAGCAGTCTATAGGTAAATTCATTAGCATAAGAAAGCCGATTACGTTAAGTAGGAATGTATCATTGGATACGCAGCTTTTAAAAATGGTATGCAAAGAGTACCATCCATGTTATCTAGTTGAAGACGTGAATTTAAAAACATTCATTCACATCCTTTGCCGAATTAGAATTTGACAAGCCGAAAAAGTTATCAAATTCGTTATTGTCCAGTTTTTATAATGAATTTGTAGTGAAAAATATTTGACTAGTGCAAAAGCCGTTTGTTTGACTTAAGGCGGATGAACAAATATTAAAAACCTTAGTTTACACGCTTACGGCGCACTTTGTAGATAAAATTCAAAATTTAAAAAATCAGGTTTATTAGAATGGTCACAATTCGAAGAAAAGTAGGCACACCGTGAAAAATATTTCCAGTTGGATAAACGTTGTTGCATGAGAATTTGATATATATTTGTAAATCGCAGCTATAGTCATTGACAACGCTTCAAATATGAAATCACCTGTTACTAAAGTTTACTAACCTGTCATGCTTTGTGCATTTATTAAACCTGATTTTGCCACAGGCGATTAGGCAGTTGATACAGAAAATTGTTAAGTAGATAGTGATGTGTTTTTAAAAAAGTTCATTCTCTTCAAGCAAACTTGCTGGTCGAATTCTACCCATGATATGTTAAAAGGTTTTTCTGAAACAAAGAACCTATAATTTAATAGTTAAAATTGGTTTCCGACGAGGTAATGCAAAGAGTATCATTAGAACAAACTTTCCTCTTTCCAAAATAAGAATTTTAGCAAGATTAAATGAAAGCTTACAAGGACATAAATAAAGGCATGGTGTTGTTACAAGAAACAGAGTTGTTAATTAGTGCTATACTGAAAGGTTTTTCAGAACGGTTTAGGCTTATCTCTAACAACGAGCTAGTGACGCAGGCAAGTTTCCAGAATCCCAGATTTGAAATACTGAGATTGCTAAAATAACGTTGCAATAATAATGAAAGCTTCGGCGTGCAATATCAGAAGCCCCAAACACAGCAGTCAAATCCATCTGTAACATCTAGTGAGAACTCTTCCATAATGAGAGCAGTTCGATGAAACTGTCAACAAAATTCAAGGGCACAAGACTGGGGATCTACTGCAATAGTGGAATTAAATAAATATTTATCGTTGGATTATTTACCTAGAAATAATGACCCCTTATTGAGGTGGGATACCGAAAGCTAATATAACCAAGGTTTTATGAACTTATTCTAAAATCCAGTTACTTCAGTGCTGTGCAGGGGTGTAGCTAGAGGAGGGCAAGGGGGGCACCTGTCCCCGGGCGCAGAACCCAAAGGGCGCCAAACTGATGTTACGATATTTTAGAATTAAATGTTTTTCATCTTTGGCAAGCAGTAGGCGCCGCGAAATCTTCAGTTTTCCCTGGGCGCTGAAAACCCTAGCTACGACTCTGGTGCTCTGTGAATGGGTCTTTCCGATAGCCCGAGACCAGATTCTCAGAAAAGAAACCGCTTTTCATCTAAAAAGGTAACTAAAATTATGTTTATAAATCATGTTTTATATATTTATTTATTTATTTATTATGGTAGACAGGTATATTTTATTCAATTTTTAGAGTTCAGTAGTTTTTACATTGCATTTTTTGTAGTATTGGCAGTTCTAGTGGTTAGAGGTTTTAACATTGTGCTTTGTAGTAAAAACAAAATATCGATTAATAACACAATGTAATCTTTATTAAAAGTTAGTTTAGTGTTCATTACTTTTCAACTTTTCGAGCATTATTTTTTTAAATTTCAGAATTTTATTGTGAGTTCTATATAGAAAGGGGCTTTTGGAAATCTCAAGTTGAAAGAAATCAGTCCAGGAAGTGAGCGGTTTGGATTGAGATGATTCCATAGTGGCGTAGCTAGGGTGGGGCAAGTGGGGACATCTGCCCCCGGGCGTAGCATCCAAGGGGCGCCAAATTGATGCTACGAAATTTTTAATGAAATATTTCCCATTCTTAATTCACAGAAAGGGGCGCAAATTCTTCAGTTGTCCCCGGGCGCTGGAAACTGATGCTACGCCCCTGATTCCACCGATCCCAATCTTTGCTGGATTCTTTCTGCTTTTTGCACTTATCTTTTCACACCGCTCTTCATCCATTACCGTTCCGAGCATGTTCATCAAGATAATTTTTTGTGAGTGATGAATTTTAAAAAATTCACTGATTCACTTCAGTGATCGGGCGGCAATATGATCTCACAAATCGTTCAGTTGCCTGCTCACGTTGTTGAATGTACCATTCTTTGAATACTACTTTTTAATAACGTTATGTTTTATTAATACCTCCAGTCACTGTGACATATTTTTCATAGAACAATTAATTTCCGCAAGTTAATTTATACATGGATTTATTATTTAATTGTATGATGTGACGAATTATAGTCAACCGTAGAGGTGGTCCATCAATTATAATCAAGGAGGTTAGAATAGACTAAGGCCTCTCTATAGGAGCCTTAGAATAGACCAGGGTTGGCCAAACTTTATGTCAGTAAGAGCCGCACGTTTGAATTCAGGAATGTTCGAGAGCCGCATCTAGATTTTTCTAAAAGCCACATGTTCATATTTACATCATCATAGAAGTAGTGGAGGAGGTTTTAAAGAGAAAGAAATCCCTAATAACTTTGTAAAAAGAGTCTAAACTAATTAATTATTTCTTTTGGGACACTGAATAGTTTTAGTTTACCATATTTCATACACATATTTTATATGCACGAGCCACACAAATTGACTGCGAAAGCCGTATCAGGCTCGCGAGCCGCACTTTGGCCACCCATGGAATAGAGACTATTCTGACCTCCTCGGCTATAATACTAAGTACGTCCTCTCGAGAAGTTTGGTACTAGAAAATGAAGGCAGAAGACTCTCGAATCTGCCTTCTGAAGTGTTCTTTTTTAAAAATTTAGGACAGCCTAGAGATAGCCTCTGGTGGTGCGCCATGAGCAACGTTCTCGGTGATGAAACAATTAAATGACCGATGGGTTTTTTTTCATTCCCGACGAATGAGGTAAGTTAAAAGTATGCGGCCATTTTAAACAGAAACAACCTTTTAAAAGTAAACTAAACTGTCCTCTGAAGAATATCCAAGTATTGCCATAAAACTGCTTTGGAAGTATCTTAAGGGGCAAAACTCGTTGCTCTAGCCGTATAGCGCTTTCGATTTTTTATTTACTATATATCCATGGGCTCAAAGTCCTGGCGGTCAAGTGCACCAAAGTACTTCCCGCCTACATTCCCAACGTCGAACTGTGATTTTTAAACGACTGAATACTATATAGAAATTTTAAAGTGGCAGACGTCTTTATCTTTGTCTTTTATAATGATTGTTGGTAGTGTGCTTATTACTGGTGCTAACAGAGGCATTGGCTTAGAGTTTGTAAAACAACTCCTAGCATTACCGAAACCACCGCAGTTTTTATTTGCTACATGTCGGAATCCTAGCAAAGCAGATGTGAGTAAATAGAATTACTATTTACTACATAGAATTCATTATTCTGCTGCATTTCTATAAAAAATATTGTATTGTTAAAAAGTAGTGGTTTACATATTATGCAGTGCATGTTTGTTATCTGGAAACTGCCGGAATTCGCACCGTGTAGTAAAGAGGGACAAAAGTAATGAAATAAAAAGGGGAATTTCTCTTATCAATTACAGAAGCGATTTATACGAAGAAATATTAACGGTTATTTTAAAATGAGACAAGTCCATTGAATACGGTTAAGTAAACCCAATTCCCATTGTTGCATTACAGTAAATGTCTGTTCTGCCTTCCTACTTTCCAGTTATTAGGCTGAGCTGCAGTTTCATTAACGGTGATATTCTAACACTTAATTTTGTGATATTGGACCTCTAAGATCCCGCTCATTATCAATGAATGAAGTTTGCTGAAAGTTATATTTTTATATTGAAACATGATAGCACAGTACACAACGAATATATTTTGCTTCAGCATCTATATGCATTCATATGTTGCATCTTTACAAACTCTTACTTCTTGCTCCTGCAGACTTGCCATAAAAAATTCTTCCTTTACAGTAGTATTCCCCAAGACCTCGATATGCTAATCAACATTTGGAAAGTTACCTAATTGTTATATTGGGATAGGGAGTCTTCCCAGGTGCCCACAAGCATGAACTTTTTGTTCACGAAGCGATATTGAAACATACTAAATCATTATTAATGCAACTAATCAAGTAGAAATTGCCAAGTTATCGAAATTCAACAAACTCTCGCAATTACATGCTTAGCAATTTTTCTGTTTTAATAAGCAATATTCCCATTTTCTCCGTTTGCATTCTTTCTGTTGTACTTCCAATAGCAATGATTTCTGTAGACTCTTAAACACAATTTTAAAATATGCGCTTGTTAGATTTGCCTGCAACGGACGTTTTAATGATTGACATCAAATTCCATTAGAACAGAAGAAATACAAACCCACTTGGAAGTAGATTTATTGATTGATTTTTGAGATTGGCTAATCTTTGGAATATGGTCACATGTAGTTTGGCGACATTTTGGGGTTTAGTCCTAGTATCCGGTGCACACGGGATTTGGCTACTTTTATGATGAGCAGTAAAAACGGGACATACAATGAGTATTAAACGGGTATTCAAAGAATATATATAGTTATACATAGTATATACTATGTATATAGTGTATAGTGTACTATCACTATATATACATAGACGTTCTTTTGGTAATTTTTGATGTTGGCGATAATTTTCAAAATTGCGCCAAGGCTGCACCGTATACTAGGATTTTACCCATTTTGGTAAGGCAGTAAAGGTTACTAGCTAGGACTTTAGCAGTGTACATGGATAAAGTCAAAAGTGTGAACAATGCCATTTTTGTGCAATTCTGAGATGTATTTTTAAGTGAAAATAGGTCGACGTGTACATAGATACCGTGTATGTGCAATTCTTAAAAACGCAGCAAGCAGTTTGCGATTCTGCACTTTCTCCCAATTTTGCACCTAATCTTTGTCATGATTAAGCACTTTTGTTCCATAAAAGTTCTAGCATAAGCGTAATTCGGCTAGTAGATTGTTGGAAAAAAATGTTGAGTAAAAAAAAAAAAAAAAATGCCTTTACTTCGTGAAAACAAAATGGCGTCCAAATAAAAAGTAGCAGGTTGCTGTAACAGGGTTGGTCGCCAAATTTTCGCCAAGTTACCATAATCCAAAGATAACCGTTTATTAATTGATTTTTGAGGTTTTCTCCTGTTAAAAATCACCAGACTGTGCCAAGGTGATTGTGCTGATATAGAAGTACCATATTTAAACAATAAAATAAAGTACTGCCATTTAAGAAAAAAGCACTTTTCCATTTAATAATTCCTTGTATCTCAAGCAATCTCTAATAATTTTTATAAAGTGCAAAAAATTTCCATGTTAATGTGGATTTAACGAATTTGTAAAAAGTATATAGTTTATTTCTGTTACCTCTGTTTGTATAATAATTTGCTTACAGTTAATGCAACTTTTGTTTTAATTTTGGGTGGGAAAGAATAATAATATAATATTCTTGAGTTGGGAGTCCTGCCATCTAAAGTACAGTCAAAAGTCGTTAATTTGGACACCCATAATTCGGAATGATCTATAATCCGGACCTCAAAACTAAAAACTTTCTGCGCATGCGCCGCGTTGACACATGCGCATAGGCGTTTACGCGTGCGTGTAAGACCTTTTACGACTGCGCATATGAGTGTGCGCAAGTGCAGAATACGTTTTCGCGTGCGCGTTTTATGTATAATGGACATATAAGCTAAAATTATCTAATTATCTATTTCAGTTAATGTTGATGATTGCGTTGTTCCTTAATTTTCGAATTGGATCCGGCTTATTAATTTTTGCAGACTGTAAGAGCAATTTTATAAATGTAAGCTTAAACTTTCGATTATATCAAGTAGAATTTCCGATATATATTTGTTAATATGTAAAGGATCTAAAGCGAAAGTATGTTTTGAAATTCGAAATCTGTTTATCAATTTCACGCTGCTCGGCGGGGGGAACGCCGCGGCGGGCGCGTAATGAATTGGAAGTTGATCTGTCAGCACTATCCTTATCTTCAGCGCAGATGTTTTTATTTCATTTGGCTTATAATTCCTTACCAAATGTAGTATTTCATCTCGATATGCTCCGTCTTTGATGTGATTTAAAACAAGTTCCTCGTCATTATAATTCGCTTCCGATAGCGAAGAAAAGTGACAGAGGTTATTGAAAACGAAAAAATTTCCACTGACAAATTAGTCGGTGTTCTTGACACAGCAATTATAGGACTTGAACAGTGGAACTTTGTAACTGAACAAGAAATTATGTCTGTTTAATAGAATTAAAGAAAGTATCACATGAAACGAAGCAGAACTTAAACAACTTACATTGAAAGAAATGTTTAATAAAGTAAACAAATAAATATTAAGCTTTTTCTTTTTGCAAATTTTGATACCCTTTAAATCATAATTGTTCTTTATTTCATAAATTACGGTTTCATATTTTTAATTTTAGAATTTCTGCATGCCATCTTACGAGATTTAAACTGATGATCTATAATCCGGAATCACCGAAGTCCCGACGAGTCCGGATTAACGACTTTTGACTGTATATGGTTGCTTATTATATATACTCCTCCCTTCCTTTTGCATCATTATTTCCACTGGCTGTTTCCTTCATTCAGTATTTATTTTTTAAACTGGTTGAAGTACATTAAAGCACTTTTAATGAGCCTCCCATAATCATAATACTTTTATGTGGCAGAGTTTATGAATCTCTGCTAGTTACATATATCAAATACTATTGATGATAAGAATATATTAGTTTGGCAGATGTTAGCATTCCAGAAGTCAAGAAAGTGATGAAGAGGAAAGCACGTGAAATGTATTTTAGTAAGTGTGATAATAAGCAGAACACAACAGGAAGTCTGTGTGTAGTTGAGGGCTAAGTGACTCAAGTGGTATTTATTAAAATTATTGCTAATTCCAGTTTCAACAGGCCATTCTATAATTGATTTAATTTTTATTCAAAGGTTAATATTATCTACTTATAATAATAAGAGTTTATTTTCTGTTGAATAAATAAAATCTGTTTTACTTTGTGCCTTTAAATTTATTGAAATTTTGTTTATATTTAGGATTTGCAGCAAATTGCCAAGTCAAATTTAAATGTCAAAATAATCAAACTTGGTATGTATAAGCTTTTTAGAAATCTCTAAAATTATTTGTGTGAATATTAAAAATAACATCTTATTTATGTCTTTATTATTTTTTATTTATAAATAAATAGATTTCTTTTTTTATTTTATGGCTGTGAACAAAACATTTATGAATTTATAATTAAATGGTTGAATCAAATATTTTTCTATTGAGTAATACACAAGTATTGGTTTTCTTGGATCAAAGTGATTAGTTTTCAGCTAATGAGAAAAATCTGTGGTACAGTCAAAAGTCGTTAATTCGGGCACCCATAATCCGTACCTCAAAGCTGAAAACTTTCTGCACATGCGCCGTGTTGACACACGCGCATAGGCGTTTACGCGTGCGCGTAAGACCTTTACGACTGCGCATATGCGTGTGTGCAAGTGCAGAATACGTTTTCGCGTGCGTGTTTAATGCATAACGGACGGTATGAGCTAAAATTATCTAATTATCTAGTTCAGTTAATGTTGATGATTGCGTTGTTCCTTAATCTTCGAACTGGATCCGGCTTATGACTTTTCTCAGACTGTAAAAGCAATTTTATAAAAGTAAACTTGAACTTTCGATTATGTCAAATAGAATTTCCGATGCTGGAGCTCCCAAAGGATCTACAAAACGAAAGTACGTTTCGATATCCATCAAACAAATAGTGGAATTGCTGCAAAAAATGGATAAAGACATGAAGAAGGTGACAGAGAGGTTAGTGAAAATGAAAATATTTCGATTGACAAGTTAGTCTGTATTCTTGGCACAGCAATTACGGGACTTGAACAGCGGAACTTTGTAGTTGAACAAGAAATTATGTCTGTTTATAGAATTAAAGAGAAAATATTATCACATAAAATGAAGCAACTTAAACAACTTACATTGAAAGAAATGTTTAATAAAGTAAACAAATAATTCTTTTCTAATAAATAATTTCTTTTTCTAAATTTTGATACCCTTTAGATCATAATTGTTCTTTATTTCATAAATTACAGTTTCATATTTTTAATTTTAGAATTTCTGCATGCCATCTTCTATAATCCGGAAAAATCGATAATCCGGAATCGCCGAAGTCCCGACGAGTACGGATTAACGACTTTTGACTGTATATAGTATTTTTATTAATCAAATGCAACAATAATTAATAAAAGCAATTAATTATAGAATTGATAAACTTTTCAATAATATTAATAAAGTATTTTGGTATTTTGTATAGTAAAAAGTATGGAATCTGATTTTCCAGCATCTGGAATGATCTGAAATCCAGACCTCTAGATTGTGAGCAACTTTGGAAATACACTTATATGTGCCCTGAAGTCGTCAAATTTCTCGCCAAACATTTTTGGCTAGAAACTCCACGGTGCCATATTACTATCTAAATTTTTTGTCTATATTTTGAACTTTAAGCCTAAAATGTCTCCAAAAAGGCGATTTCCGCACATGCAAAAACCACATTTTGAACACACAATTTAAGCTAAAAATCTGAAACAAAAACAAAAAATTTAGATAGCAAAAATTTAAAGTTTCTAACCAAAAATATTTGACATGAATAATCCATGTACACAGCAGAATGTTTTCACTTAAATAAACATCTACAAATTGCACAATCTAGGCAGCGGAAGAATTTACGAACGACGCACACCTCACTTTAATAAATTAACATAACAACAGTAAATTTCAAAGAATACCATGTACACAGCATTCTGTTTCAACTTTGAAAAACATCTACGAATTGCACAATCTAGGCTCCACGCACTAAACCAAATAAACTAAAATAACTAAAATAAATTTCAAACAATTAAAAAAAAAAAAAAAAAAAAAAAAAAAACATAACGACAGAAATTCATACTAAAAAAAACAATGAACGTGACATTCTACAAAATAAGAAAAAGAATAAAATAAAATGCACTTACCATGAATGAATACTTTTCAAACAGCAGAAATACCAATTTCATGCCGCATTTAACATGCCGCCATGTAATCACTATCGTATTTATATGACAGCCAGACACACTATCCAGAAAATTCATACTATGGTTCACAAATAAATGTTCGAAACCTTCTTTTCCTAAATCCTTGTAAGATTTCCACCCTTCCGAAAAAATAGTTGTACAAGGCTCAATTCACTCTTTAATACACTGCATTAGCATTTCCTTACTTCTATCATGCACAGCCACTAAAAATAATCTCCCAGACCCTCTTGCAACCATGTCTCTCATTGCAGCATAGGCCATTTCGAAACATGCACAACAGGAATTAACAAGCAATTAAAACACTCCAGCAAAAGAGTATTCAACATCATACAACACGCAGTCGTGCCAAAAACCAGCCCAGAACACATATCGCCACATTTCTTGATCTTAGAGCGCATATAAGAGTTGAGCCGCAACTTTAAAAAAAAATTTGGTAATAATATATTAACGGGTGCCTCTTGGCGTAAATTGGCGGTACATGGATACTAACTTTGTGCAGTTCTTTGACTTGATATTTTGGCTTTGTGTAGCCCAAAATCGCCACTGCACAAAGACAAAATAACAAGTCAAAGACTTGCACAAACTCAGTATCCATGTACACATTGACCTATTTTAACTTGAACAAAATCAGAGAATTGCGCAAACTTGGCATTGTGCACTCCCTTTATCCATGTACACATCGACCTATTTTCACTTAACTCTTTAAGTGTCAAGTTATTTTGATGATTTGGGTACACGAATTATCAATTTTTTTATTGCAAAAATCGAATGATTGCCACGCAGTGGCATTAAGGATTGCCTCTATCCTTTGAGACCTTCAGTAAAGTGCTGCCATCTATTGAATTGAAGCCAAAATAAACTTCTCACGTTATATATATTCGGGTATATCAATACGATGCACTAAAAAAAAAAAAAAATATATCCCAAGTAATACTCAGGCGTGGCATTTCAGAACATCAATGCTGTGCACGAGATTATTTCGGGCATGACAGTTAGAAGGTTAAAAAAAATTAGAGAATTGCAAAAACTTGGCATTGCACACTCCCTTCACTTTGTCCATGTACACATCAATCAATTTTCACTAAAAATGTCAAAAGAGTACCCACTTCTACAGTAGAGCCGAACAAAAAATACATCATCTCAATAACCTACATTTTAAATCAAACAATAAAATAACATAAAAAAAATCTGAAAGGTTTTAGATTTTAAATTACGTCCAAAGGGGCTTTTTTTTAACATTTTATGTATTACCTTTATTTACTATTCAGAAAATTCATACTATGGTTCACAAATAAATAAAATCACAAATCCCTACTTCTGTCATGCACAGCCACTAAAAATAATCTCCCAGACCCTCTTTCCACACCTTCAAATACCCACTGCTTCCCTCAACAGGATGGCTACGATGATATTTCCTTTTGCCGAACTTCAATTCAACAACTTCCTCCATTTTATCTTTTTCCTCTATCTTCGCGAACCAACGAGCTCTAGCGAAAGATTTTTCAACGTCAACAGGGTTGCCATACAACACGCAGTTGCGCCAAAAACCAGCGCAGAACACATATCGCCACATTTGGTGAAATTAGGTCGTATATCAGAGTTGTACCCATTTAACTACTCGGGTTACCATAAATGAAACAACAACTTCGCGATAATGCAAGGGGCACCCTTCAATCTACTCTGAACTGAAAATTGTTTTTATCCTGTACACCTGCAGATTTGATAATGAAACATTGGAGAGTCCAGATTCTTAATTTCACTTTGGGACTGATGCCAACCTGGTGAATTGGTATTTATTATTTTTTGCTTTCATCAACAAATTACTGTTAATATACTGCAGCTTGAGAAATGACTTGCATGAAAATGCGTAAACATTTTTTTAAAGTATTAGTAATTGAATACCAAAGAGCACAGTAAACTTTAACGTTGACATTATGCGTAGCAGTGATAGCAGACTTCAGCTAACTTTGCTACAAAGTAATGAATGTGTTTATGAAGAGAAATTTAAAAGAAATTGGTACTTTTACATTTCGCTGGTGTAAATCTCGCGAAGCAGACTTTATTGGCGACAACACAATGTATGCATAAAAAAAATGTTAAAAAATGTTATTTGTAAGAATTTTTTACTTTAGAGGCATTACATTTACTTTACATTTTAATATCGTTTAAAATTTTCTCAACTTGGTCTTTCGTTTCCATTCTCCACATAAACTCCATGGGATAACTTTCCAGATGATGACGTGCTGTTCTTCTATGTTTCTTATTTTGCCGTTTGACGTTTCCCCATAGAGTTTCTATTTTTTATGTGTGCGTTCCAGTTTCTGGGTAGACAGAATTGTATTTATAGTTCACTTTGAAATGTTCGAAACTCTCTCTTCCAGTGTTTCAGTACAGTATAATTTTCACAAATCTAAATATATTATTGTGCACTCCCTTTATCCATGTACACATCGACCTATTTTCACTTAACCCTTTAACTGTCAAGTTGTTTTGATGATTTGGGTACACGAATTATCAATTTTTTTTTATTGCAAAAATCGAATGATTGCCACACAGTGAAAAACATTTTAAAAATGATGCACAGTTTGAACATAAACCTCTATCCTTTGAAACCTTTAGTAAAGTGCTGCCATCTATTGAATTGAAGCCAAAATAAACTTCTCACGTTATATATATTCGGGTATATCAATAAGATGCACTAAAAAAAAAATTATCCCAAGTAATACTTAGGCGTGATATTTTTTTATATTTTCCTTAATTGCTTCTAATATAATGTTCATGGATTGCTGTGGCAGCTTCACAAGGAACACTCGTTTGTTTCACGGCAAGCTCCACTAAAGATCTACTGTTATGGTAGAATCCACTCCGCATTCTTTTTGCACTCCGTGAACATATTTTCACCCACTTTGACGATCGTATCACGTCCTTCTAATTTCCATTATTGACGTTTAAGCAAAGAATCCACACAAACCTTGGGCATGTAGTTCTTCCAGTCCACAACTCTCCTGTGACTGATTTCCAACTGCCTGATTTTGACACCATATAACTGAAATTATTTCTTCGTTTTAACCATAAATGAACCTCACGTACCTCAAGAAACTCAATTTCGATGACTCAAACCATGTGCCTTTCCAAGTACTTCTTTTACTGTGACAAACTGAAAGGCTGCGGGGCCACTAAATTTCGTCTCCGAAATACAATTTCATTTCATGATTATAGTCAGAAGTAACAATTTTAGGGAAAATGGCTTTCTGTTGAAAGAATTTGACAGATTCTTCCTCTGTTTTTGGGAAATACCAAATTTTCATTCATTTTTGACATATTAGGGAAAAGACGTAACTGATAAAAATGGCCATGACTTGTTTTGATAATGTGGATGTAAAAGGTTACCAGCCAGGATATACTGTTTAGCGCCAGTTGTATCTTTTTTAGCGACTTTGTCGCTTGTGCTGGCAAAATGGGGAAGTACTCAGATATTTTTTTCCATATGCAAAAAATAGATTTTGGGAATGATAATCATAGGCCAAAAGATTACATTTAGTGCTGTTTGAATTAAGAATAACTGACTTGTTATTCTAATAAGCTCAGGACAGCACCACTGCACTGAGGAACAAAATTTTAAGGGAAGAAAAATTTGGAGAAGCACGAAGCAACAAAATTAACATCTTTAGAATTTAGGGAAGACACTGGGATGCAAAATTTAGGGGAAGCAAAAATTATAGAATTTAGTGATTTACTTGGCAGCAGAACTTTAAACCTGCGGGGAATGCATTGGGCCACAAAATGTTTTGCGCCAGGCCTTGATAAGCCTTAATTATATATGGAAATTTATTATTTGTGACTTCTCAGACAGATTCATAATGTTAACTAATTCCAAAATGTTAGAACATACGGTGGGTAAAAATGACCCCGACTCACTAGCACATACAGAACAATCTCGTCTTCCAAGTTTTTTTTCCAGAAACCCCCTCTACTAGATCACCCAGTAAGGTACCGGAAGTGACAGGTGCAAGTGTTGAGAAATTCCTAAAATATTTGCAGACAATAGGAAGCGTCAGGTCAAAAATACCCGGCGCGTGTGCTCACGGGTTAAGAATTTAAAGACGTTAATTTAAGAATTTACAATGCTTTCATGGTATAACCTCTTGATTCGGCAGTTAATATCACGTGATCCCAAACAATCTTATCTCACGTAAACTACGCTACATAAATCTGATTCTCTCAGGAATTATCTACATTAATTTCAAGTTAAATCTTAGTATGGAATACAAGTTTAAATGCAAGAATTATTTCAATATTATAATTTAAAAAATTCTATGTAACTGTATGCCAATATTAAAAAAAAAAGGATCAATCTGATAAGAAATCTCTTCGACTTGTTTTGAAAAAGTGCTGTGAAAGGTTATCAGTGAAGATATTCGGTTTGGCATCAGTTGTACCATTTTCGGCGACTTTATTGCTTGCAGCGGAATGGGAAATTGCACCGGCCAAACGGAAAAGTACCGCTTTTTTTTTTGTTAATTTCGATACCCTTTAGATATAATTGCTCTTTATTTCGTAAATTATGGTTTCATATTTTTAATTGTATAATTTCTGCATGCCATCTTACCAGATTTAAATTGATGATCTAATAATCCGGAAAAAACCCCAATCTGGAATCGCTGAAGGGTCCAGATTACGGACTTTGTACTTTATAGAGTATTATTTTTTTACTTTGTGATTCCCTGAAGGTTTTAAATGCTATGTTATTTCATAAATCGCTTTTATATTTTTTAATTTTATAATTTCTCTATGTCATCTTACTAGATTTAAATCGATCTAACACCCAGATCGAAAATCCAGTGTCGCTCAATTTCTGACAAATCCAGATCTCAGACTTTGTATTGTATAATATTTTCATAATTAATGACTGTGTTTTCATATTCAACAGATGTGAAAGATTATGACAGCTTCCCATCAGTTTGTGAACAGGTAGCTCAAGAAGTCGGAGAAAGTGGCCTTAATTTATTGATAAATAATGCTGGTGTGATGTTTGGTGATTCTTTGGATAAAGTTTCTAAAGAAACCATGATGGAGAACTTTGAAGTTAATGTAGTTAGCCCATTGCTTTTAACAAAGGTATTGTACAATTTTTATACATGACCAAGTAATAATCTTGTGTTCTACTAAAAATATTTTAACCATGTGCTTGTAAAATCTTAAAAAATGCTGCTTAAAATGTAATTTTCGTTGGGAGACAGATTTAAACTGTGAGCAGGATGATTGAAAAGTTGGTTAATTTAAAATTTAAAAATGTCTACCTTCCACCTATATTGTACCCTTTATTATGTTATGTAAATTTAAGATTTTCTATTTTCATGCATTTCTCACTTGTTATTGGAATTAAAGATACTATAGGCAAAGATTGTTGCTCAGAATATTTTGGTACTTACAGAAATATTGTGATAAATAAAACTGAAAGAAAGAATTTCATTCCTTGAATGACTGTAGACAAAATTGTTCCTCAGCATCACAATGTAAAAGTTCAAGATTGGGAGCTAAAAGACCATTATCTCATTGAGATCTAAATGACCTTTAAAGATGCTTAATACTATTTTAAGGTTTTTAACTTCCTCCTTCAGCATTGCCGAGTACGTTTACTTTTGTTGCTCTTTAGGCATAGTGGTAAGAGAGCTGACTGTCATAGCCTTGGACCCAATTTCAAATCACGGAGAAGTGGACATTTGTAAGATGGAGTATTTTTCAGTAGCAGGTACTTAGTGTCCTTCTTAAAAGGTTAATGGATGGGGAAGAAGAGTGAGATACCCATGTATTCATGTTGGGGTTGGTTGGAGTAATTGGGAGAAAATTGTGTCTTGTGGGTGACAGTCATTAGTTCTTAGCATTTGTTTACGTTGGTTACATCTATAGTTTGATTTGAATTGTGTTGTTTTTCTGTTATATTATGTCGGAAATGTTGGATTGTGCTGTAGCATTCTGTCAGAGTTATTGAAAGAAAACTAAAAGTCAGAGCATCACACACCATTGTTTTTTTAAGTGGTCCAGATATCCATTGTTTTTTAATAAAAAATAAGGTACTTTTTCGTTTGGCCGGGGCAAATCTCGCCAAGCAGACTTTATTGGCGACAACACACAGTATTCACATAAATAACAAATGTTAGTTCTCAGAATTTTTTATTTTGAAAGCATAAACATTTTAATATCATTTAAAATTTTGTTAAAAGACAAAAAAATAAAGGCAATAAATTTGTAAAAAGACAGTAATTTAAGAATTTACTATGATCTCGTGGTTCAACATCTTGACAACATATCACATGAACCCAAGTGATTTCATCTCACATAAACTATGCTACAAAACTCTAATTCTGTCAGCAATCATCTACGTTGATTTCAAGTTAAATCTTAAATCTTAAGGAATACAAATTTAAATGCAAGAATTATTTCAATTCGTATGAATAGCTTACTCAAAAATTATGTGAAACCGCAGTTCTTTACTTCGTTAGAGCATTCTCATTAGAATTGATAAATTTAACCCTTGACTTACCCTTGACTTTTTCTATAGTTTCGCCTTCGGGTGAGCGATGTGATTGCATCCTAAATGACTTAATTGCCTTAGTGATAGAAATTCCTTAAATGGCAGATATATTTTGAAAATATAGTAGAAAGAAATAAGCAAACCACAAATACACGTTATATGTTTATTTACTTGGCTAACTAAACATGTTACGTGCATTTGTGGTTTGCTACCATATTTTCAAAATATATCTGCCATTTAGTAAGTAATTTCTATCACATTATCAGCACGATATGCTCTAAAGTTTATTTAGCAGAAACAAAGAAGAAATTTTGATTTTTCCGAAAGAAAAAGAAGCAACATCCACAGCGCCAGTGAAGCTAAGCCTAACACGTTGAACGTAATTTCTATCACTTAGGGCATAAAATTGAACTATCTGGTAAAAATTCTATTTGATTTTATGTCAGTATTGAAAGAAACAATCAATCCGATAAGAAATTACTGCTACTTGTTTTGAAATTCAAGCGTAAAAGGTTACCAGCGAGGATATTCCATTTGGCATCGGTTATACCATTTTTGGCGACTTTATCGCCTGCGCCAGCAAAATGGAAAAGTACCAAAATAATTCCAAAAGAAAATTATATATATTGCACTTCAAAAATTTGGTGTCTGTCAAAAGTCAATCTGTCTTTCCCAGTCAGGTTTCACACGTTCACTCTTATTGGTCGATGCTTATCTTAAGTCGGCATAAAGTTGAAAATTTTAAACTTTATGCCAAGAGTTTTAAACCAAATTTTGTGACATAGTACAGACTGATTGCCTGGCAATGCAGCTCCGCTTAAACCACTTATGATCTTTATACCGTCGTCTGAATGCAGCTTGAGAGTAGTGTGGCCTACAGATAATTTTGGTCAAATCTCACTTCTTTGCAATCCATTCATAACAACCTTTCCATAGATTCTTTTGTTATGAATTTATTTCTTGGAAAACTTAATCTGTTATCCAAGAATTTGAACTAATTCAAATGTGTCACTGGATGTATACCGAGTTGCACAGTCCATCTTATTAGTGTGAAGCCGTTTCTTTTTGGGGAAAAAGGGAAGCTAAATTTTCCAAAATTTTTCGTATTTCATGAGCCTAACACCTTTTTACTCCATTCCTTTTCAGCATGAATCTGGATGAACCTTATAGTCAGAATTCTTTCTCTCCAAATTGACTACAGTTTTTGATGTTCAACATATATAATTTATTTGCTTTTGGGAGTTATTTTCATACGATGATGATGTAAAATGGCAACAACTTTGGCTTTCAAGCATCTGTTTAGGATTTGAACCAAGCAATTCTACCTTTAGATACTGTATGTAATCATCAGGTGTAAAATAAAGAGCATATATTCTTCATTTTCAATGTTGAAATTATCTGCAGTTTTGCAGTGAACATTCTGCAGCTTGTTAAGTTCTGGATCACTTGGAAAATGATGGTATGTGATGCTCTGACTTTTAGTTTTTCTTCTATAACTCTGATATAATGCTACAGCATAAATTGCCATTTCAAACACAGTATAATAGAAATGCAGTGCAAATCAAATCAAACTATAGATTCACCCTACGTAAACAAACACAAAGAACAATAACTGTCATCCACATGATGCCATGCACAGGCAGCACAATTTTCTCCCCACACTGCGCTTCACTTTTGACCCTCTCTTGATGTTTATGATGGTACAATGTTAATGAAGATGACTGTGTCATTTGAAAAGATTAAGATTGTTTCTACTGATAATAGCACTATTGATACTAGTAGTGGAAATCGACACTACTGATAATGTTAGTGTGGCAGTGATGATGAACAAGACGAGTAACTGAATAATATGTGTCAGCAGTTGGAAAATCAAGGATAATTAAAGAATAATGAACAACTACGATCTTATTTATTTAGAAATAATGATGTTGAGACCTCGGGAATTCTTACCAAAGAGATTGCAGACCATAAAAAGCGATTGATGATGACGAAGAAAATTAATGTACAAAATCCAGATGATATTTTTAAATATATAAGATACTTTACGACATGGTTTTCAGTTTAAAGAAAATGTAGATGTGATGTAAAATAATGCAAGACTTATGACATGAACAGTTATTCCTGACAATCAAAACAAACTAAAATAAGTGACTATTTTTTAAATTAATTTATGTAATTTCCATACATAATTGTTATTGAATGATACATTTAACATATGTAATTTTGCTAGATTACTATGCTAGAATACGAACATCAAAAGAGTAAGATAGTGTCTTCCCTGTTATTTAACTGCTGCATATTTTTTTAATTTTGATGTCACATAATTTATTTAATTTATTTTTAATTATAAGAGAAAGAAAACTACTTAACTACTGAACATTATTTTGAGTATAAAAATATTTGGTACTTTTCCGTTTTGCCGGCGCAAACGATAAAGTCGGCAATAATGGTACAACTGATGCCAAACGGAATATCTTTGCTGGTAACCTTTACGCCTCATTTTCCAAACAAGTCACAGACATTTCTTACCAGATTCATTGTTTCTTTCAATACTGGCATACAATTACATAGAATTTTTACCAGGTAGTTCAATTTTATGCCCTAAGGCCATTCGCGGGCGGTAATTAAGTCAATTAGGATGCGATCACACTGCTCACCCGAAGGCGAAAATATAGAAAAGGCAAAATCAAGGGTTAAATTTATGAATTGTAATGAGAATGCTCTAGCGAAGTAAAGCACTACGGTTTTACATAATTTCTGAAAAAACTATTTGTACCAATTGAAATCATTCTTGCATTTAAACTTGTATTCCAAATTAAGATTTAGCTTGAAATTAATGTAGATAATTACTGAGAAAATTAGATTTTTGTAGCGCAGTTTACGTGAGATGAGATCACTTGGGGTCACGTGATACAAACCGGCGAATCATGTTGAACCATGATAGCATGGTAAATTCTTAAATTAATATGTTTTTACAAATTTATTGTCTTTATTTATTGGCTTTTTGGAAAATTATAAACCATATTAAAATGTTTATGCCTTCAAAATAACTAGCATTTGTTAACATTTTTTATTTGTATACTGTATGTTGTCGCCAACATAATCTTCTTGGCGAGATTTGCGCCGGTGAAACGGAAAAGTGCCAAATATTTTAAGAGTTAATCTTAAGCAGGCTGATTTGGAATTAAGAATTAGGACAAGTTTATTATTATGATTACTGTGTGTGTAAATAAACCTATTGTAAGAGTTCTATTTTTAATGTATGGAGGGAAGAATTGGATGTAAATATCGAAGTATTATGGTCATATACTATATTACTATGGTAAATACTATGTCAGTCACATTATGATAATAATCACGCTAGGAATAAATGTTATGTGCAAGTCCTAGGAATCTGAGGGATTATAAAAGTGCTTTTAGATAGTATTGAAAATATATGCACTTCTGCTTAAATTTGAATCGAATAAATAACATAAGCACTTTAAAAGGAATGTAATAAGTCTATTTACATGCAATTAAGAAATTTGTAGAATTTTATATTAACTATGAATTTGATGATTTAACTCCTTCTATATATTTTTTGCTTGAAATCTGTAATTTAAACTGAAAAGTCATGATCATGTATTTCTCATGAAATGTCAAATGCATTTGTATTAAAAAATGCACGAGGAATGAAAAAAAAAAAAAAAAAAAAAAGGAGTGATGCTTTTTTGTTATGTTATTGCCATGGTTTAGCCATCTTCATGTGTGTCAACAGGACTTATTTACATTAAGTGCAGGTGACACAATGTTAAAATATTGAAAAAACACCTTGTTTTACAATATTTAATTTCCTAAAGAAACTGAAATATCATTTTTCATATTCTAATGCTTTGCTGTGAGAAAAGGAGGTAATGTTTACCATTATTTTACCATTAGAAGAAATCTGAGAAAACTGACTTAGATACAAGTCTGAGAAACTGACTTAGATATGGGATAAGTCAGTAAGTTAATTTTATAATCTTTCAGTGAATTTTAAACCTAATAAAATTCTATTTAATGTATAAAATATTTTCTGCCTCCTTCTTGCATGCCTTCATGGTGTAACAGTTGCACACTCGGCGCGTATTCGAGAGGTCCAGGTTTGAGTCCTGGCGAGGGCATTGGTCATTTTTCATGTCTCCTGTTTTAATAACCTAATGTCTCTACGGTGGTACTCAAATTAAAATGCGATGGTTGATGATTTTTCACCACCAGAATGTGGCAACTGGTTTCCCCAATCCCCAGTCGGTCGCCCTTTAAAAGAGGGAGTTTTAAGGTATTTATTCCCTTCTTCCTGCATGCCTCCATGGTTGTAACAATACCACGCTCAGCGTGTATTTGAAAAGGTTTGAGTCCTGGCGAAGGCGTTACTCATTTTTCATGTACTCCTCTTTCAAAATAACCTAATGAATGTACAAACTCATTGAAACAATGAATACTTTACAATGATATTTTTTATCTCGGTACAAAAATTAAATTTAATATTCATTGAAGCTTTCAAATATATTTGGGACTGTTGGAATTTAGCATTATATTTTGTATTGTACTGTAAGCGACCTTAGATATTTCAGCAATCATTTGTTATCTACAATGTAATGGAAACTTGAATGTATGATGTTCATGAGGGCAGTCAGTGTGTAGGAACTACTTCAGTATTTGGAATGAAGTTATGTTTCATTCTGACAGGATTTACATCATTCAAACACTTGGTTACACAATTGTTCTACTTATTTTATGCCAAGTTTGGTTAGATTATGAGCTTGAGATTTTGTCATTTGCTTGAAAAAACTTATTGGTAATCCTTTGCTCTATGATCCAATCAGATTTTTTAAGCATTGGAATTGTGTGTTTTTGGGCTTCTCCTTTGTGTGGGAAGTTCCAGTTTGCATTGTCAGAAAGATGACATTTATTCAAGAATATTTTCTGAATTTGACAGAAGAATAATTATGGTTTCGAGAGAATTGGATTATCCTTCCTATAAATCGGTACTCATGTTGGACCATATCAAACCACAGGGATGAGAATATGGAATAGATTAATACAGGAGGGATTGAACAGACTGATGAGAATGATAGCACTAACATTGCCATACTGCTGAATGAGATGAGAGACATATAGTTTATTAATCTGAGAAATTTTGCACTTATCTAATCATGAGATTTTATTCCATTTTGTATGCCTTGCTTTGTTCTCTAATGTAATATCATTTTTGTCACTGAAGACTATAGAAGAAAATAGTAAATTAAATTAAATTAGTTTATTAATTTGGTTAACTTATATGCAAGCGCTCTAGCAAGCCCTGTTTCCTCGTTATGTTATTCAAAATTATTGCAATGTCATTTTATATCCTGAGATAATTTTGGTAAATTTTCTTGTCTTCAAACATAGAAATTGTTTTCAGTTTTTCTTTGAACCTTTGTTTTTACGAGTAGCAGTGCACAAAAAGATGAAATTATTTATGGAAACCGTAGTTCTAATTAGTTTCAATTTGAATGTAATGGCTTTCATGCAATTATATGACTATGAAGTTGCATGTTATACAAATTAGGGGATACTGTACCAAAATTATTAAAATTTAGAAATCTCTGTAAAGAAGCTTTATAGCATTTTGTTTCTTTATGAAATCAACATATTAAACTTTAAGAAAGTTTTTTTTTTGTTTTGTTTTGTGTATAAAATATTTTGCTGTAGTATTTTAAACTTATAAAATTTCATTAATTGCCTTTGAAAAAAAAAAGGGAGGGGGGAACTTTTTTTATACTTATTTAGTTTTCCAGATATCTGGCTAGACAATAAAAATATCCAGCCGTTAATTATTTAGCATTAACGTTAATTATTTCATTGATTTTGTAGCTATTATTTTTAACATTATTGTTAATTATTTAGCATCTGCATGAGGTATGTTGAATAATGGACAGTTGGCAGATATATGTTGTATCCATAGAATGGTTTAATAATATGAGCTGTTAACCCTAGCCTTGGTATTATATCACTGGTGTAACAGTTATTTTTTTAAAACATTGTTACAACTTTAAGAAATATTGTTTGCTATATATTGATATCTTATCTCTAGGAATTATTGCCTTTATTAAAAGCAGCAGCTACAAAAGGTAATACCAGTAGTTTGTCATGTTCTAAAGCAGGTGTTGTGAATATAACTTCAAAAATGGGTTCCATTGATGATAATACAAGTGGAGGTTGTTATCCATACAGAACTAGTAAGGTAAATCGATTTTTTTATTTGTTTGTTATATCATTACTTTATATTGGATCATAATAAACTTAATATTAAATAATTCAACTATCAGATGGCTACAAAAAATTTATAATTTTTTAAAAAATATAATTGATTTTAGCAAGTTAATGTATTATTTTGCATAAATACCTGATAATCTAATTGTTTTGGGGGTATATATGCTGTTAAGATATATCAGTTGAAACAATCACTTCAAATATTACTAACAAAGAAAATCTGCCAATCTTAAATTTCAAATTGTGTTTTGAAAATTTCTGAATTTGTACATTTAAAAACAATTATATCAGCTAAAGTAAGCTGCTAGATTAATTATTAAACATGAAGTTCTTGGCCATCATAGATAAATTTTCTGAAAAAATATTATTTGTAACTTGAAATTTGGGGCAGAATTGCATGATAATGTTGCATCGTTAAATATTAACATGTTTTTAATTGTTAATTTTCATTGATTTTGTAGCTATTATTTTTAACATTATTTATTTCTAAATGAGCAAAATTATTTGCAGTCTTTTATATATTCTTTACATATGAATGTAATTTAAATTGTCATTAACATATAACTACATATTAATGTACTTATTGATGCAAATGATTTCACTGCATTATTGAAGTCACTTTTTCGATGCTTCATCAAATTTGCTCTCTACACTTTGAAGCAAAAGCTTCAAATCCATTACAAGGTAACCAAAAACGTTCTTGCTGTTTTGGACGGTCAGAAAGAAAAAGTCATAAAACAAATAATAATCACTGCTAGTCCTCAAAGTAATCACCTTCGGCATACAGTGCCTTTTGCTAATGAGTGGCTAGCTGTGTGATGCCATCATGGTAAAACTCGGGAGTCTTGGACGCAAAGAAGACCGTGAGGGCCTTTTCGAGGTCTGGCCTGTTGTTAAAGGATTTCCAACGAAGATGGTTATCCAGGGAATGGAAAAGGTAGTAGTCTGTTGGCGTGAGGTCCTGGGGAGTATAGTGGATGGTGTAGTGTCTTCCAGTCCAGTCGCTGGATGGTGTCCCTGGCCTCTCGAGTCGCCTAATGCTTCATATTGTCATGGAGAAGGAGTACACCCTTATGATTGACCAATAATTTCACTGCATACATTCCAACTGCTGCAGGTACAGTCCTGCCGTGATGGCCCGCTGGCAGAAGCTTATAGTGCACCACTTGGTGACTAGTCCACCAGATACACAGCATGATTTGACATGGGTGGAGAGTGTGAGGCACAGGGTTCTGGGGTGACAACCAATGTCTGGAATGCTTGGTGTGTCATGCTGGACCCACCTTTCATCGCTGGTGAGTACTCAATCAAATATGACTGCATTTTGGTGTCGAGCAAGCAATGGCAAACAGGCAGCGACACGCTGTTGCTTGTTTGCATCGAACAGTGAGTGGGATAACCACTTGCTCAGTTTGTACGCCTTTCCTGTGCGCTGCAAATGGAGTCTGATCATTTATCTGATATCTGGAAGTGTGCAGCAAGCTCACCAAATGTTTGGCTACTGTCATTCTCTATGGCTGTTCTCATGGCATCATCGTCCAGCTCTTGTGGCTGACCACTGCGTGGTGCATCACTAAGAGACATATTCCCTGACCGAACATCTGGAACCATTCATTAACAGCATCATCCCCAAAAGCATGACAAATTCAGCAATTTGATTCTGCTGCTGACAGGCCCACATTAAAATCATACAGCAAACAACTCTGAACGAGCACCTTTGACGCATCCATTTCAATCAGTTGCTGTGTGAGTTATGTTTGAAGTACCGATGCAACGTGCTTTAATTGTGGTCATTGTCCAGACTCCCATCTTAACCACTTCATTGCCAGGTTTGGCGACTGTTTTTATGTTGGGGTTAACTCTTCCAATGTCATATCAGAAACAACAAGAACGTTGGTTATCTTGTATTTACTTTGGTTAGTTGTATGTTCCATTCTAAAGGTTGAAGCTAAAAACTAAATCATTTGAAAGTGTCAGATTGCATGCCTTCACATTATAGAAGCAGTAGTAACTTCTAAAAGTAATTTCTTTTATGTTTTGGAAAAGTTGCTATATCGGTAGGTTTGTTTGTCAAGTTTTTGATCAGTCCTTTTCTCTGCAAAGAATAATCTTCAACAAGACTTATGACTGCTGAATTTCAAAAGAAAAAATTGCAGATTTTTGTTATGCCACTACTTTAACAGTGATGCTGTCGTAGGGAAGAAACAATCCTGCAAGATTAAGCCTCTTTTCACCCTCAATCCTCAGTTCAGCAATTCCTGTAATGGTAGTTGCACATGAAAAAGTGATCACTATTAGTCTTATTTGGGCACAGAATAACATTATTTTTACTTTAAGTTTCTTCATTTATTTATTAGGTATTTTCTGTCCCTCTTAAAGAATCGCTAACCATTGGCAATTAGTTTTCTGCCAAGCTAAGATGTGAAAAATGGTCATTTTCAAAAATGATATTATACTAAGAATTACATAAAATAGCAACCAGTTAACAAAATTTAAAACACAAGAAACATCCATAATAAAATACTGACCTTTATACATTTGTGCTATTTTCCTCATGTACACAGTGATCTGTTTTGACTTAAAAACTATCGGAGAATTGCACAAATTTTGGTCCATAAAATTTTATCAATTACAAACTACATTCTCTATTGTTAGGCAAAATATCATATTTCTGAAGAAATGCGACATTATCTTTTTCATTATTCTGCAAACCCGACAGTTCCATTATAATTCTTTAGAAGAAAAAATGCTGCACTCAGTGTAACAAAAACAAATGTCAATGATACTCAATGCAATAAACACATGCATTAATGACCGATGATCATGTGCATAACTGGATTGCCACATAAAATACATCTTGGTAACATCATGTGTTGCTTATTTTGGTAAGGTAGTGCATTGCCTTATGACTGCTTTTTAGGAGTGTGTATATAATAAGGACATATGTTTATCAATCGTATTGCAAATTACCTTCCTTGCAATAATCATAGATCAGTTAGTTGCATTCTGCAGTACAGAATGTATTATAACATCAGGTGTTGACTGAATAGAGCTTTTGTTTATCTTGGAATTTATTGGAAGCAGTAGCTTATAGTGTAAATATGTATTTTCCTCCCAACAGCATCATTTTCTTACTGGTGGATTTCTGAACATACGAGGGCTATCCAGAAAGTAGATTACGTTTTGGAATAAAAAAATAAACAAAGTATAGGAAACAAATTTTATTATATACAGATGAAAGCCACACTCAAATACTACTTTTCTACATAGTCACCATACAAATTAAGGCATTTATCGTAGCGATGTACGAGCTTGGAAATTCCTTCGTCGAAAAATTCGGCCGCCTGCGCCTTCAACCACTTCGTTACCTCTTCTTGCAGCTGTGCGTCGTCATCAAAACGCTGCATAGCCAGCCACTTCTTCATTGCTGGGAATAGGTGGAAGTCGCTCGGTGCCAGGTCGGGACTGTACGGCGGATGAGGAAACAACTCCCACTTAAAAGATTCAAGAACTTTACGAGTGACATTTGCCGTGTGGGGCCGGGCGTTGTCGTGAATCAACAAGATCTTAGAGCTCAACATTCCTCTGCGCTTGTTTTGAATTGCTCTTCTGAGTTTTTGGAGAGTTTGGCAATACCTTTGAGAGTTTATTGTAGTGCCTCTTTCCAGGAAGTCCACCAAAATTACACCTTTTCTGTCCCAAAAAACAGTCGCCATCATCTTCCTTGCCGACATTGTTTGCATGCATTTCTTGGGTTTTTGGGGAGAACTTGTGTGCCCCCACTGCATTGATTGCAATTTCGTTTCACAGTTCACATGTTTCACCCATGTTTCGTCACCAGTAACGATGCGATCGAGTAAAGAGTCACCATCCTTATGGTAAGCGTCCAAAAAGTTCAACGCTGCAGCCATTCGCTGATTTTTTGTGGTCCTCTGTCAAGATTTTTGGAATCCATCTTGCACAAAACTTGTGGTAACCAAGCTTTTCGCTGATGATTTCGTGCAACAAACTTCGCGAAATTTGTGGAAAACTCAAAGAAAGTTCCGTTATTGTGAAATTTCGATTTTCACGGACTTTAGCATCGACTTTTTCGAGAAGTTCGGCGGTCACTATGCTGGGTCTCCCACTTCGATCTTCGTCGTGAACATTGGTTCGGCCATTTTGAAATCTTATGACCCACTGACGCACTCACTCCACCTTCAGTGATAATGTTGTCCCCATACACTTCACGAAGCTGCCGATAGATTTCTATCGGTTTACAGTTTTTTGCAGTCAGAAACCTTATTACTGAGCGCACCTCGCAGCTCGCGGGATTTTCAATTAACGCAGACATTTCAAACCGTCACAGTATCTGAACGGAGCACAGCACGAACCTCTCACTAGCACGGCTAGATGCAGACTGAGCTGCGCAACGCTCTGACCCCAAGATGGCCGCGCTAGCCCCGCCCCTAGCGGACACAGACGGAAACGTAATCTACTTCCTGGATGGCCCTCGTATTTTTTAAATTTTAGGAAATTTTTCCCCATTGCCTGAAATGCATACCAAGTATGTTAACATAATGGCCGGACGGTTTTTCTACTAAGTGGATAGGAATTAAATACCTGTGTAACTAATTAGGAAATCAGTATTTTAAATATTCTTGAAAACTAAATTTAAGATTATTCAAAATAATATTTAATACAGTCAAAAGTCGTTAATTCGGACATCTGTAATCCGGAATGATCTATAATCCGGACCTCAAAGCTACAAACTTTCTGCGCATGCGTCGCGTCACGTAAGACCTTTACGGCTGCGAATATGCTTGTGCGCGTGCGCAAAATACGTTTACGAGTGCGAGTTTAATGTATAATGGACGGTATAAGCTAAGCTAAAATTATCTAATTATCTATTTCAGTTAATGTTGCAGATTGCATTGTTCCTTAATCTTCGAATTGGATCCGGCTTATTATTTTTTGCAGACTGTTAGAGCAATTTTATAAAAGTAAGCTTGAACTTTCGATTATGTCAAATAGAATTTCTGATATATATTTATTAATATGTAAAGGATCTACAAAGCGAAAGTATGTTTCAAAGTTCATTAAACAAAAAGTGGAATTGCTGCAAAAAATGGATAAAGGCATATCCTTTGTTTATCTAAACTTTAACGTTTGTTTATCTTTAATGCCGCAGCTGGCAATGAATTGGAAGTTGATCTGTCAGCACTATCCTTATCTTCAGGGCAGATATTTTTATTTTATTTGGCTTATAATTCCTTACTAAATGTAGTATTTCATCTCGGATAGCGAAGAAAGTGACAGAGGTTATTGAAAACGAAAAAATTTCGATTTACAAATTAGTCGGTAAACACAACAATTATAGGACTTGAACAGCGGAACTTTGTAACTGAACAAGAAATTATGTCTGTTTATAGAATTAAAGAGAATGTATTATCACATAAAAAACGAAGCAACTTAAACAACTTACATTGAAATAAATGTTTAATAAAGTAAACAAATAAATATTAAATTTTTTTTTTTGTAAATTTTGATACCCTTTAGATCATAATTGTTCTTTATTTCATAAATTACGGTTTCATATTTTTAATTTTATAATTTGTGCATGCCATCTTACCAGATTTAAACTGATGATCTATAATCCGGAAAAATCAATAATCTGGAATCGCCGAAGTCTCGATGAGTCCAGATTAACGACTTTTGACTGTAATATAGGGAATACATATTTGGAAATGAAGTGTTGAAAACCACATATATTTGAAATAAATATGTTTATTTCATTGTAATTTACACAGCTGGAAAGAAGAGGTCAAAAATTTTATTTGCAGGAGAAAATTAGCTTGGAGACAGACTTGACCACCTTTGGTCTTTTTTGTGGTAGTCACTGGACTTTAGCCCTTTCACTGCATAATTTTTATTGTCAAAATAGGTTCGAAAATTACATATTTTTTTATTATAGATTTCAAATCTACATATATTTTAGAGTTAAAATATAGAAAAAAATTTGTAAAAGAGTTTTTTTCTAATATAGAATTAGATTAAAAAAAAAAAAAAAAAAAAAGAAAAGTTCTTTGAAAATTAAAACTGAAAAATAATCATATAAAAGCAAAATTTTGAATATTAATCTTAACTAAATTATAATTTATTTAATGAAATACAAAGGTAAAACATATATACTAATAGAAATATGCAAAATACTTACAAAATGTTTAGTAGAAATTAAGTTTAGTATGATAAACTTCATTTCTCGAGGCTCAGGGAAACAAGGCTGGAGGCAAAGTCCTACCTCGCAATCTTTACACCAAATTTGCGTTTCTTTCCGAATTTTTTGTCAGTTTCAGCTTTTTTTAGCAACAAACAGCACACTATCTCCAAGGCTCTTTCTTGATGGGATTGGAGGGTATATATTTAGAAAAATGTCGAACAGTTAGTCTCATGGGATTGAGAGTTGAACTACATCTGGCAGGGTAAGCACTGGAATTTCCTTCTGAATGCTTAGCTCAGTGATTTGCAAGCGGAACTCTAGAAGCATTATATTTTAAAATGGGTTATCCTTTTTAACAGGGTATAAGCATTCCACAGTGATTGCCAAGAAAAGGAAATGAAGCAGGAGCTGGTGAAATAGTTTGCACCACTGTCGATCATTTCAAATAGAAAATGAATTTTCAGATTCATTTTTATCCACAGAGGAATCCAAGTAATTCTCATCAGTTTTGCAATAGCTATCTTAAGTATACTTGAAATCTCAGTCAAACGTGCTATCAGTGTCAGGAATATAGGTTATATTACTCATGAAACACTTCCTACCAGACATCTTTGAGCTTTGAAAAGAGCAAACAAAGTGGTGGAAAATATACTTGTATATTTCACAGAAATACGGACAACTAATGCCATCTGTTAACTCAGATTTGAATAAACATCACAGAAAAGCTGAAATGAAACCATGAACAGGTTGCACAGTTAAATAGACAGAAAAAATGCATCCCCACGCAAATCATAGGTTCTGCGAATTTTACTATTTCTTTGTTGCCCGTGGAAAACATGGGATACGTAGCGATAGTGTTAACTCCTTTAGATTTTTTTTTCTTCTGTGGAGGTTTGTGAAGAAAAGAATGTATTAAACACCTGTGGCAGATGTTGCAGATTTCTGCTCATGAATTATGAATGTGGTAGCACAATAGGACTACTCGTGCCAGTGGTACATTTGAATGGAGTATCACCTAAATATAGCCTAAGCTACAAATGGGGCTCCTATAGGAGGTATACTGAAATTTTTTGAATAATTCTTTCCAGATATGTTAACTACAGTGTAAAAACACATTGATTTTGGATATATAGATCATTCTTTTTCATCACTTCTTTTTCGTATGCTCTGTATATGTAGAAGCTTGATCCATGAAGGCAGAAATATATTTGATTTTGTACTTTAGACAGCTTTGAATATGGTTACAAAATCATTATCTGTTGATTTGAAACCAAGTGGAGTATTAGCTTTTGGATTACATCCTGGATGGGTGCAAACTGACATGGGAGGAAGCAATGCTCTGATTACACCTCAAACAAGTGTTAATGGAATGTTGAATACCATTTTGAATGCAAGTGCTGAACATTGTGGATTGATGCTGAACTACGATGGAAAACGAATTCCCTGGTAAACAGAATGATTTCTGCCTCATGATTATTTGAAAAATATTCTTGTTATATGATGTAATTTTATTGACATTTTTTGTTTGGAAAGGAAATGTAATTGTTAAAGATTTTTTTCATGAATTAAATATGAAGTGATTGTTTGTAAAATCATAATAATAATAAATTTTGCATATTTTGAATATTTACATGTGGTAGATCTCGTAAAAATATTAAAAATATTTTTATACACAAATTGATAACTTCTAGGTACTGTCCTATCAATTTATTCAATGTGATTCTGAAAGAAGAAAATTGTACTTAAAAAATAGCTCTAGTATTAGAAGAAAGTAAAAATACGTATTTTATAACTCTTAATAATTCACTGAGTAATTTATTATATGAAAATTTTTATTTTTGCATCTTTCTCACTGATATAAATAATGAGTTATATAACCAGTCTTTGCACAGGGAGAAAGAAAACTTTCATTTTCTGAGGGGATATGCCATTTAAGTGAATTATTGTTAGCCCTATACAGTGAAAATGGAAAATTTACATTATCTTAGATATCAAGCCATTTAAATGAAATGATATGAAGGAACAAACCTTGCCTCAGGAAAGTGCATACCAGGTATGTGAAATCATAGCATAACGTATTAATTTTTTGTAATACTGAATGATAAATATTTTATTATTCTTTTAAAAAAGGCAAAAGATCCTTTTTAAAAGCTGTGAGCCAAAGAGTATCTGATTTTAAAACATTGATTTATAGTGAATAAAAACCTTAGAATGTGTTATGAAAAAGTCATTAAATTATGTTAGGTAAATAGAATGAACTTCATTTAGATAATTATTATGTGATTTACTCTGATACAAAGACTGAAGTTTTGTGATTAATAATTATATTATTCAACTAGGATATTTCCAAAAAATCTACAAAAAGTACATGAGGTATACATAGTTTCATAACGCTGAGCCCTTTTAGATACTATGCGATACTTACACTGATATAGGCTATATTATACGAAGATTTTTGAGTTGAGTATGGTTATAAATCTTCAAGGGAGAGAACTGTCAATTTCTGTTGATAGGAATGTTAAACTGTAAGTCCATGTTTATAAATATATTAAAAAATCAGCTGGCAATCAGAAAATGCTTATATTAAAATTTAGTTTAAGTGAGATCAACTGAATGAGGTGAAAAAACTTTCTCATAATAGAGGAAACAGTAATAATTATTGATAGTACTAATTACTGATATAATTACTTCAGTAATAATTACTGATGTTTAAAAAGTAGGAAACATGAGGTGCTGAGGAAAATTTTAGTTAAATTAGAGGTACGAAAAGTAAAGGGCATTGTAATGTATTTTACTTATTTTCTCAAAAGCTAAAAAGTGTAATTTGTACTTGTATTTAAAGAATGATTTCAGTGAAGGTTAAAATGCAACAGCAGAGGAACTAAGAGAATTCTCAAAATTGGTCAGCATTGCTAGAATTTTCAGACAGCAACAGGTTTGGATTCAGAATTGAGTTATTAAGTGATAAATTTCTAGTCTAAAATATCTAGCATCATGTTCTGTGGTGATTCAAGTAACATATTTTGAGTTTTTCCGGTAGTTTTCACAAATGCAACAGTTTATTGATTAGCTGTTAAAATACCATTTATCCTTATGCAACTTTATGAATATAAATTGAAAAAAGTATTAAAAAATATTTAATTTTGCACAGTTAACTGGAAATTATTTCAAATTAACTTTAATACGAATTTACATTGATAAAATTCAGTTATCCATTAATAAAATTAAAATAATTTAATCATTTTGCTGGATATTTTGGACTTTCATCATGTTATATTTGTAAATGGTAGGATTTACTGATAAATTTTGATATTTATCTTGAAATTTCCACATTAATGCATACAGAAACTGTCATAAATCTGCATATCTTTCACCGGCATTACATTTTCTAAATATTTGACATAGTGAAATTATAATATTTGGGTCATTTCTTTTGCATGTTAAATGCATCATTTAATGAGGTACATGGATGAGGTAAATGAGTTAACTACATTTATGTGTTGAATTAAAAAATTTTATTCAAACATTTATATAAATACATATTTATAAATATTTACAGAACTTTATATAATACTTTACATTACTGTTTTTAAGTTATCAGAATTCTATAATGAAGCAATCTATATCACAATAATGAAAATGAAAACATAATACTGTCATTTTTATTGAAAAGATTGCACACTAGAGAAATTATTTAAAGAAAATTGTTATAGTAACATAAGCCAGGTAAATGATGAATTCAGTAATCTTAATTTTTTTATAATTTTTAAAATTTATGAAAAAAGATTTTTTAAGGATTTAAATTTTTGCTAATTCTTGTTTAATTGTTCTTTAAATTCCATAGAAACAATTTTGATTTTTCTCACCCTTTTGAATATTTAGTTAATTCAGCATAATTATCACTACTGTGAATGCATTTCTTCAGAAGATAATCCATTTTTTAAAACACATGACCAAGAGGACCTTGTCAATTGAAGTTTGAGCCAAGAATCAATCTGGCTGCAGGTCTACTTATTCTTCTCTTAGTTTGCTGAATTCTATTGATTCTTGAAAATCAATGACTTCTACATGAAGTAATTGATTATTAATTGCGATACGGGTTTTAGTTGGCTGAACTATGCCGACTAAAACCCGTATCACATGTACAAGCTATCCTCAATAGCATGTTGAAAGAAACATTTCCCAGAATTTTTGTTTTGGAGTAACTTAATGTGAAACAAGTTCTTAAAGGAATGAGAAACAAAGCTTCAAGTGAAAAATTTTCAGTTCAGTTTCAAAAAGTCCCACATCGCTAGCCAGGACACAGGTTCCAACAAAATGGACCCTTCAATGGTAGGAAGACGAACAAGTTCATTTCATCGAAAAGTTTCTCTGTGATATGCAATAACCCCATAAGATATTCATTAGGGAGATTATTTTTGGTACTTAAAATGGATCCTTTATCTAAAAAACTGTATTTGAGACTGGTGGTTGTTTTGTTGAATAATCTAAGTATTCAAAGGGGAAGAATTAACCATGATTGAAAATTATTTATTAAATCTGGATTAGTATTATTATTAAAAAAGGTATGTAAAATTTTTCATATTTGTAAAATTTTATTCACAGACTCAATTTTTCGGTGAAGAAACAAATGACAATGTTATATCATAAATATTGCAATATGTTACAAAAATATATCAAGTTTTTATGATCAAAAGAGCAGTACTATGTACATTAGCAAAGCAAACTTCATGAAGCATTCAATTTATACATGCAAGTAATATTATTGATATATACATGGCACATAGGAAATATTAAAAAATAATTGGCAAACTGTTTTAAGACTGATCACAAAATATCTCTACAGATATAACCTTCATGCACTCATTTTTTTAAATATAATTCTGTCTTTTGGTTATGCTGTAGTGCAGGAAGAATATAATTTTTATATTATATTTGCCTTTTATGTTAATTAGAAGACTGGAGACTATTTAAAACATGCTATGAAGGTATTTTATTTAATAAGGTCTTTTTATTTAATGTATAAAATTGGAAAGTGTAAAAGACTGTATGAAATCAACAACAGTATGTCTTCTGTTTCAGCTTTTAACATATTTTTATGTTTCACTCAAAATCTTTGTAGTATCGTCATAAAAACAGTCAGACCTTCGAGCCTGTTTTTCTCTTTTCATGCAAATCATCAAGAGTTGGATTATGATTGTAAAAGTTTGATGAAACATGCTCATTTGGAGTATTACTAATACAGTTTTGTTGTTGCAGCATGAAAACTGCTGGTATGGGCAGTCTTTGCTTACCATTCTGAAACATTCTTTTTGGTAAAGAACCTGATTCAGATATACCTCTGAGAGGTGATTTTGACATATCACTATTCCTAAAATCAAAAAATTCTGAATTTGGCCGTGATCGAGGTGAACTGACGGTATGCCTATAATGTCTACGATTCAAATTGGCCATATATTTTTGTTCTGTCATGAGGTAAGATGGTTGCATTTCAGGGGGCCAGTCTTTTAAATACATGTTCTGATGGAGATGAAATTGTTGCAGGTGTTGTTGTATCTCTTGGAAGTTCATATAATGACTATAACGATTCGGGTCAGCAAATCCTTTCCGACTGCCTGGTCTGAAATAAATTCATAGAGCATTAGTTAAGAAAATATTTGGCATTAAAATATTTAAACATGCTTTAAATCAGTTTAAAGATGAAAAGCAAATTATGAAATTTAAGTATATAACTTTCTAATGGTAAAATCTTCAAGTTCAGAAAGTTGCTATCGAAAAAAATCAATTCCTTGATTGAATTCTAACCTAATCCATGTTAAAAAGGCAGCTGAATGCAGTCATCTCAAGTGGTTCTTAAAATAGTGTTATTTGCGATTAGCGAAAAAGGGGGGGGAGGAAAAGGAAGTTGTTAAACTACAGTGCAAAGACTAAGTTCTATGTTGATTAAAGCAATTTGCAAAGATATTGGATATCGTATCTCCATGTCAAAATTGATAGAACATTTTGAGTATGCACTGGATCTTTCATCAGCAATTTGTCCCACTTATATGTTGATGAAAGGATTCTGCAACTAAAAGCAGCTGGGCCTTCAGCTGCGTTATTGTTCTGCATAGCAGAACCAATAAAAAATGATGTTTTCTGATTCAACTTTTCTGTAAGTGGGTACGAATTATTGACAAGTGGACTTGAGGGTTAAAATTACAATAAAGGCAATGCTATGATATAGTCAAGAATTTTTGTAAACTTGAGGGTATTCTTTATAGATGTACTGCTACACATGTATGCCCACCAGCGACTGAGTAGTAAAGTCACTGAACTGCATGAGCATTTTTTTGCTTCTCCCTACATGTATACTAGTCAGTTTCCCTTGGAAAATCTTCCACGTCCATTCATCTTTTCTCAGATAACTCTTGAGTGCGTTACCATAATTAAAACAAAGTGTACATGTGTATTATTTCATATATAAAGAAATTCATAACAATAGCTGGTTACAATTTTATTGCCTTTAAATTCGACCATATGTCATCCTGACCTTCTCTAAAGCTATTCACTTGATGGAAAGGCGTTCCTGCAAGTGTACAAGGTGCAGCTCTCTATAGTGGCAAATGCAAATGGCTGGGATTCCGAAGTTAAATCCTACCATCTCGTTGCTTTTCTGAGACCCAAAAATCATAATTGGGCTTTGGCATAAAGTATTTAGACTGTACCATTGGAAACATTTCAGGAGCTCGCCACAAATGTGGAAAGGCTGTCTCATCTCACCTTTTCAACTTCCTATCAGAAACAAGCAAAATCCTGTTCTGCAGTACTTTATCGATGGCATCCAGGATCCTGAGATATGGAAAGTCTTTTGAATGGTGTATGTCAAGGATTTAAAAATCGATTTAGTGTATGCCATGAAATTGAAAGCACCTCAAGTCCAGTATCCTTGTGTTCTGCCTCTGAGCACATAACCCCGTTCGGAATTAATGATGGAGGAGTAAATCTATTCAGTATATAATAGCTAGAGACAATATCACAGCAAGTATAGAATTTTTACTTCCTGTATGGTGTCCTGGAATATTCCAAAAACTGTAAGAGCCTGAAAGGAGTACTAAGAGCTGCAGCACTCATTGACGTATCAAAGACAGTCACCTCCATGACAATTACCAATGCAAGTGATAAGGTCAAAGTCATTAGAAAAGGCAAAGTGCTTGCAGCATGTACTCCAGTGGCCTGCATTTTTAACAAATCTTTAAATATATATCTTCGGAGAAACTAACATGCGAGTTATTCTCGAGCCTTTTCTATCGTCAAACAAAGCTACAAAGAAAGTGTATATTGGCAGATAGCTATCAACCAAAAAAATGACTTTGGGAGTTCAAGATGCTGCTGTTTGGATTACATAATGCAATGATATTTAAACACATCATGGACACCGTGTCGACAGGTGTTTCCTACGAAGCCTGCCTATCATCATCATTAAATAAACTTCTGATGAAAATTTGGAAAATACCGAAGAGGTGCTTCAGAAATTAAAAGAAGCCAATCTAAAATTAAGCTACGTGAAATGTAAATGACAGGAAGTGATATGCATGTCATCATCGAAGGTGTGTGTGTCAGCAGTTAAAGATGCTCCGAAAATATTCATCAACTTTTGTGGGGCTGCAGGATATTTCTGAAGGACCTTTCTTCCATCGCACGACCCCTTAAAAAGCCAGCAGAGAGCAAGCAAAATCTCTTGAGAAAAATAAATGTGAGGATGCATTTAACAACTTGAAAGAAGCTTCAACATCTGCTCCTATCCTGACATATCCTCAACTTGACAAATCATTTTTTTCTTGACACTGACGCAACCAACGAGAGTGTCGGTACTGTTTTGGCCCAAGAAATAAATGGCCAATAACGTTTCATAGTCTACTGGAGCAAGTACCTATCAACTTGAGAGGAATTACCATGTCATCATGAAGCAGTTGCTTGCTATAGTTAAAGCCATAGAACATTTCCATCATTATCTCTACGGCAAAAAGTTCCTGCTCCGCACGGATCACGCATCATTGACCTAGCTTTTAAACTTCAAAAATCCTGAGGGCCAAATAGCCAGGTGGATACAGAGACTCAAAGAATATGACATAACTATCGGTTATCGGAAGGGGTCATCACACGGAAACGTTGACATCCTGTCTAGAAGACCCTGCCCAGAAAATTGCTGATGTTGTTTCAGGATCGAAGTGAAAAATCGAGCTTGGCGACATTAAGCCCATAATTGACTTAACTACCTGGCAGGACATTTCGATCAATAGTCCTACAACAGAACAAATACTGGGCTCTCTGGAACTCACTCCATATTCGAAACATTGTATCGTAAATTCGAATTGAATGATGGGGCGGCTTTCCGGTGGCAGCTGATACTTCCAAGATCCTCGAAAGAACTACATAGCAGCCCTACAGGAGGCCACTTCAGAATAATGAAGATCTTTTAGAGAATTCGAGAGTGCTTCTGGAGTAATGCGAAGGATGACGTGCAAAAGTGGTGCCGATCTTGCGATGCATGTGCAGGTCGGAAAGGACCAAAGAAACACAGCTGAGGTAAGTTGCAGAGTTACAGTGTAGAAGCAACTTTTGAACATATCGCCTTGGACTACTTTACGAAGTGGCCTGAAACATATCCTGTTCGATAGCAGCAGAGTTAATGATACAACACTGGATTTCCAGGTTCGGAGTGCCTCTTCATTTATATTCCGATCAGGGAAGGAATATTACATCGGCTGTAATCAAAGAATTTCGCAAGCTACTTGACATTGACAAAACCCAAACTATGCCTTTACATCCCGTCACATGGCATGGTAGAGAGGTTTAATCGAACCATCCTTAACAACCTCTCGTTGGTGGTTTCAGAAACCAACATGACCGTAACAAGAAGTTACCTCTATTTTTACTAGCTTATCACAGTGATATTCATGAGACTACCAGCTATTTCCCGTCTCTGATGCTCTTCAATCGTGACCTTCGTCTACCTTGCGATCTCTTGTTTGGCTGCCCTCTGGAGGCGGCTTCATTGCCTGAGGAATACATCCGAGATCTCCATGCCCGGGCACAAGAGCTACAAGACATCGATTCAACAAAGGAGACAAAGTGCAGTTCTGGAATCCGATTCGACAGAGAGGACTCTGTTCTAAACTACAGTCACCTTGGGATGAGATCTCATTGCCTATCGGGTCTTCATCTTCTGCGTTGCTAAACTGACTCACTCTTGAGCAAAACTCGCATCACTTCAAACCGGGCCTGGAGATCTCGGATGTACTCCTCAGGCAATGAAGCCGCATCTGGAGGACAAACAGATCGCAAGGCAGACGAAGGTCATGATCGAAGAGCATGAAAGACAGGAAATAGCTGGTAGTCTCGTGAATATCACTGTGACAAGCCAGTAAAAATAGAAGTAACTTTTTATTACAGATCTGTTGTTTTCTGGAAACCACCAACGAGAGGTTGTTAAGGATGGTTCGATTAAACCTCTCTACCATGCCATGTGACGGGATGTAAAGGCGTCGTTTGGATTTTGTCAATGTCAAGTAGCTTGCGAAGTTCTTTGATTACAGCCGATGTAACATTTCTTCCCTGATCAGAATATAACTGAAGAGGCACTCTGAACCTGGAAATCCAGTGTTGTATCATTAACTCTGCTGCTATCAAACAGGATATGTTTCAGTCCACTTCGTAAAGTAGTCAAAGGCGATACGTTCAAAAGTTGCTTCTACACTGTAACTCTGCAGCTTACCTCAGCTGTGTTTCTTTGGTCCTTTCCGACCTGCACATGCATCGCAAGATCGGCACCACTTTTGCACGTCATCCTTCGCATTACTCCAGAAGCACTCTCGAATTCTCTAAAAGATCTTCATTATTCCGAAGTGGCCTCCTTTAGGGCTGCTATGTAGTTCTTTTGAGGATCTTGGAAGTATAAGCTGCCATTGGAAAGCCGCCTCATCATTCAATTCGAATTTACGGTACAATGTTTCGAATATGGAGTGAGTTCCAGAGAGCCCAGTATTTGTTCTGTTGAAGGACTATTGATCGAAATTTCCTGCCAGGTAGTTAAGTTAATTATGGGTTAAATGTTGCTATCTTCCAGCTCGATTTTTCACTTCAACCTGGGAACAATATCGGGAGCTTTGTGGGCAGGATCTTGTAGACAGGATGTCGACGTTTCTGTGTGATGATCCCTTCCGAAAACTGATAGTTATGCCATATTCCTGTATCCACCTGGCTATTTGGCCCCCAGGATTCTTGAAATTTAAAAGCCAGGTCAACGACACATGATCCGTGCAGACCAGGAAGTTTTTTAAGTAGAGATAATGATGAAAATGTTCTATGGCCTTTAACTATGGTGAGCAACTGTTTCTTGCTCGTTTATTTCTTGGGCCAAAACAACACTCTCATTGGTTGCGTCCGTTTCAAGAATAAATGTTTTGTAGGGATACATCAGGATTGGAGCAGATGTTGAAGCTTCTTTCAAGTTGTTAAATGCATCTTCGCATTCTTTTTTCCCACAAGAAATTTTGTGTGGTCTCTGTTGGCTTGTTAAGGGATCATGCGATAGAAGAAAAGTCCTTCAGAAATCTCCTGCAGCATCTCAAGCTGATG